GTGTGACTGTGGAGGTCTCGTCTGTGTGACTATGGAGGTCGCATCCTGTGTGGCTGTGGACATCTTGTCTATGTGGCTGTGGAAGTTGCTCTGTGACTATGGAGGTCTCGTCGTGTGTGACTGTGGATATCTCGTCCGTGTGACTGTGGAGGTCGCTGTGTGACTGGAGGTCTCATCCGAGTGGCTGTGGAGGTCTCTGTGTGGCTGTGGAGGTCTCTGTGTGACTATGGAGGTCTCGACCGAGTGGCTGTGGAGGTCTTGCCTGTGTGGCTGTGGGGGTCTCTGTGTGACTATAGAGGTCTCGTCCGAGTGGCTGTGGAGGTCTCTGTGTGACTATAGAGGTCTCGTCTGTGTGGCTGTGGAGGTCTCTGTGTGACTATGGAGGTCACGCCCCATGTGGCTGTGGAGGTCTCTGTGTGACTATAGAGGTCATGTCCCACAGCTCCGTGGACTTCCGTGTTCTGTCTTCCACACCTGAGAGCAGGGATTGCCCTTATCCGCAGTGAGCATTTTGTTTAAGTAGCAGTGAGTTCACTCCAGGCAATGCTTTGACACTATAAATAGACGTGTATTTGACATTCACACACGTGTCTGTTGAGCTAATACAGACAATCATTTGACAAACCTGCTGGTTAGGAAGTAGCTGTGATGTGAGGAGAGACAGTGCTGGGTGAAGATATACATCAAGTTTCCTCGCTTGGCTGTTTATACGGGGAAAGCATCTTGATACTAGTAGGATAGAATGCAAATGATACTTCTCCACCTCCGATCATTGGATTACATTCCTTTTCCCTGGGGTGAATCTTTAAAATACGAATGAGTGCACCAACATGAAGCACACAGTACCATCTGATTAGTTGCTTTATGCATCCAGAAAGGGTATTTCTAAATCTCAAAATATGATTGAGTGTCAAAAATCTATTTTGGGGAGGGGCAACTCCTATGCTGTGCTGCTTCTATAACAGCACAAAAAAGTTTTCCAGTATATTCCTGCCAGCAAGGAGTTGGCAGGGCGGGGAGAAACAAAGGCTGTCGCCTTTCCAGTGATGAGTGCCTGTAATATGAAGCCGGGAGTCCTGACTCAGCACCTACAGCAAACCTGGGTTACCCAGGGCTTGCTACTTGTTTTGAGAGGCTCCTAAATTCTTTGTTTTAAAAACAAAGTAAATTGCAATATGACTCATATGAAGAGTAAATATGCACCAAATAGGACACAGAGGAGGCAGAGTGGGTTATAAAATATTCAGTCATTTGCCACAACTAGGAAGAGATGGTTTTAAGGATATTGGTTCTTGGTTTAGGAATTAAAACATCCAGAAAATGGTCATAGGTTACTGTTTTATGAAGGATATGCACCACTAAGCTTATCTTGATTTTTGCTGAAGAAAATACATTTTCTTCATGTGTTATATAAAAAACTTACTTTGTAATAATTATGTTTGTGGGATTCACTAATGTTTAACTACTAGAGCAAAACCTTTGTTGTAAAGTTCTCTTGGTTGTTTGAGGAGACAAAAGGGTGGCAGACCTTTGACCAAATTATGAAGACATGGAATTCAAAGGGATGGAATTGAAGAGTTTGAGAAAGGAGTTGAAGTAAATACAGAATGTGGGTAGGAATTCCCTATTTTCTATAGTAAGACAAAATGTAGGGGAAAGTTTGTATTTCTTTGTTATTATGCTGATAATAAGCTTGCTAGAAAATAGGATTATAATTATTAAAAAAGAGATTATAATTATTCCACATCCTCTTTTGGTCTTTATAAATATGCATGTATTTTATATGGTAGTAATCACTGTACTTTGGTTGACATGTAGCAGCTCTCCGATATTTAGTATTGGAATTGTTAATACTTGTAAGTATTAGTAAAATGAATAGCTCTATAATTTTAGTTTACCTTTTTTCTAGGGGAATATTGTATCCGAATTAAATTCAGAGTATTTATCTAAAGTGTTTTTATTCTGTTTTTGAACCCCACATTGGTTCAAAACTTGTTAGAAAAACCACATTTCTGTTTATAATATTTCATATTTGAATTGAATGAGTTTAAGTTTTTGTACATAAGATTGGAAAGGAATTTTTTTTTTTTTTTTGAGACAGAGTCTTGCTCTGTCACCCAAGATGGAGTGCAGTGTCGCAATCTTGACTCACTGCAACCTCTGCCTCCTGAGTTCAAGCGATTTTCCTGCCTCAGCCTCCTGAGTAGCTGGGATTACAGGTATGCATCAGCACGCCTGGCTAATTTTTGTATTTTTAGTGGAGACAGGGTTTCACCATGTTGGTCAGGCTGATCTCGAACTCCTGACCTCGTGAGCCACTGTGCCTGGCTAGGAAATTTCATTAGAACTGGTAAGAATGTACAAGCATTGTTTCTTTGAGGTGGGTAAAAATATTGTGAGAAAAATTTTTCTGCCTCAAAAAATGGTGTCAGCTGGGCGGGGTGGCTCACACCCGTAATCCCAGCTCTGTGGGGGGCCAAGACAGGCAAATCACCTGAGGTCAGGCATTTGAGACCAGCCTGGCCAACATGGTGAAACCCTTCCTCTACTGAAAATACAAAAATTACCCGGGTGTGGTGGCGGGCACGTATAATCCCAGCTACTCGGGAGGCTGAGGCAGGAGAATCGCTTGAACTCAGGGGGTGGAGGTTGCAGTGAGCCAAGATCCTGCCATTGTACTCCAGTCTGGGCAACAGAACAAGACTCCAACTCAAAAAAAAAAAGATTTCTTATTTTACTAGGGTTGTTCATAGAAAAAAAAAAAGTTTCTTAAGAAAAAAACTGAAGTGAATTACACATCTAGCCTACAGAAAAATAAATAGGAAACAATGTAGTCTGGCCAGTGTCACCTAGAAAAGGCTCAGTTTGGACCGAATCACTGCCCTGGGGAGCGTGAGGGGAACTGGAGCCCCAGCCTGTTCTCCTTCCTGAAGGGAAGGTGGTCACTGAGGGAAAAGGTTTTCTTGGTTCTCTAGCCCTGATTTCACTTTGTAATCATCAAGGTGAACTTACACACACACACACACTGCATTGACCCCCACCTCAGACTGAGGAATCGGAGCACCCAGAAACAAGCCTGTGAGGATGAAACCTGTGGTGGAGTCCCCAGTGACTGGGCGCCGTAGACGCTCAGGAGTGGCGGGGGCCAGCCGCCTGGGAGCCGAGTCCAGCAGGTGCAACGTGCCCACATTAACTGTTGTTACCTACCCTCATGCCAGCTGTGACTGGACTGCAGTGTTCCAACGAGAAGTGCCCTAAACTTAGCCATAATAAATAATTTATTTGTAGATTCCGGAAGTACTGGGGTAGGGTGTGGGGTGCCTTTTTGTTATGATTACAGCTGTATTAACAACAGGGTTGTTTTGTGAACCAATCTGTTGTTCATACTGAAGAATTGATATATCCCTTTTGTTCGCAGGCTGTGGAAAATCTCTGTTCTCACAAAGTCTCCCCAATGCTGTACAAGCAACTACGTCAGGCCTGTGAAGACCACGTCCAGGCACAGATCCTTCCGTTTAGAGAATATCCTTTTTTTGGTTCATAAAGTTTCTATTCATTAAGTCTTTCAAAACTGAACATTATTATGATAAAGAACTAATGAGTATCCTTAATATTAAAGCAATAGATCTTAAAGTTCTCTTTTATTTCGTGACTCAGAATGGTAGGTTTTTAAGCGAAATTTACCTTCAATTGTTTTGCTGATCTGAATTAAAGGGAAGCCATGCTCACTTATTGGGTATGGTTGAGTGTTTAGGAAACGTTCTGAAAAGTGTCTTAAAAGTTCGAGTATCCTTTATTCTAATAAGCACCGTCTGCATTGGCTTTCTGTGATAGGCAGCAAAGTCCCATCAACTTGGCGACGTACGGAGACACCCGCTTATCAGCTCACAGCTGTGTCTGTCAGGAGGCCAGGCGGGATTCAGTGGATTCTGTGCTCAGTGTCATGGACAAAGTCAAGGTGTCAGCCAGGCTGCGGCCTCACCTGAGGTCTTTGCTAGCACGGGCAGGCAGTCGGTGGAAGGCAGGCAGTCGGCGGAAGGCAGTTCCTGTGGTTATGGGACTGAGGGCCCTGGGGCCTTCTGTCCTGTGTTGCTCGGTGTCGCTCTCAGCTCCACATGCACAAGTCCTTGCCTGACTCTCTTCTGCTTCTAGACCAGCAGGAGAATCTGCCTATCTGACCTGCTGAGATGGGGCCTTATGTGAGGTAACCTGTGACCCAGTCAGAGAATTGTGACCTTCGTATTCACAGGCTCCTTCACAGTGCATGTGAAGCGTCCTGCACGTGGGGACAGGCAGGAGCGTCTCAGAATTCTGCTGCCACACCAGCTGTGACCTAGACGTCTGCAGGGGAGTTTCTGGGCTCCTTGGCATCCTATAGAAAATTCTGTAATCTGGACTCAATCTCATTCCCTAACCTCCTCCCATTACTGTAGCTATCCATGTGTCTCATTGGGTAGAAATTAGAAAGTAGAGTTTATAATTGCAGAAAATCTACTTGTGGCTGTACTTTTCTAGGCCTCCGTTTCTTCATATGTAAAATTAGGTGGTTTGTGTTTGCTTACTTCTAAGTGTTCCTCTAATTCAGGGAAACTTCTGCTCCCCTGTCTCCCTGATCTTGGGAAACTAAACCGTTCTGAGTTCATTGGAAGGACCCTCAGGGAAGCTGCAGCAGTTGGTGCTGCTGAAGCTGAAGCACGTGACAGGGAAGCTGAAATGCAGGGTGAGAGGTCTCTGTTCAGACAGTCTCCACAGCACCCCCCACAGGCGGTGAGTGAGGTCAGTTCCAGCTCTGTGGTGCTGGCTTCTGTAAATACGCCCTGCAGTGTTTTCCAGCAAAGCCCTTTCCTAAAGATCATGAGGTTGTTCAAGAGATGAGTGACCACACACAACCTTTTGGAACCTGGCCAAAGTACACCTTATCTCAGGAGGCGCCTGTGAGGGCGCACGGAAGCAGGCCCCGCCCCAGTGCCACCCCTCAGCAATGCGCTTCCAGGAACCCATGTTCCGGATGTTTCCATCCAAAAAGTGGCCTGACTCCTAGGCTTGGGGGAGGTCTTTAGCAGATGCCCAAGCCTTCTACCAAAGACTTAGGCATTTGTGAGAGTCAGTAGGCGATAATTGTTCCTACCCTAGTTGCAGTCCCCATTTACTTGAAAACTACTATTTGATTACCTGATCAAATGATCCTTCTGCCAGTTACTGTTACTCTGTGGGTTGACTAATGTGCCATCAGTTCACTCACTGCACAAGCACTTGCTTTCTACCTGCTGCACTGGCACCACCAAATGGAAAGCGACCGCCGTGCCCGATTTCTACCCTCCAAGAAGTCGCAGGCCTATGGGAGAGGCAGGGGAATTACTGTACTTCCGTGGCGCGGTGGCAAAATTAGGATTACAAAAATTATCATTTGGTTCCTTAAAGGCGAAAGAGGAAAATGCTACCATATTTTTTTTTTTTTTTTTTTTTGAGACGGAGTCTCGCTCTGTCGCCCAGGCTGGGATGCAGTGGCCGGATCTCAGCTCACTGCAAGCTCCGCCTCCCGGGTTTACGCCATTCTCCTGCCTCAGCCTCCCAAGTAGCTGGGACTACAGGCGCCCGCCACCTCGCCCGGCTTGTTATTTTTTGTATTTTTTAGTTGAGATGGGGTTTCACCTTGTTAGCCAGGATGGTCTCGATCTCCTGACCTCGTGATCCGCCCATCTCGGCCTCCCAAAGTGCTGGGATTACAGGCTTGAGCCACCGCGCCCGGCCAATGCTACCATATTAAGTGCCCTTATTAGTCATGAGACATCTTGAGTCGAGAACTGTGCCAGCCAGGCCAGGAATGGTGGCATGTGAAGCAACTGGGGCAGAGCCTCCCAGAGGAGACCCTTCCGAAGGATGGGGAGGATCCCCCCTCCTGTGGATGCGGCACCGGAAGGTGAAGGGTGCTCTGGAAACCCCGAGCAGCGGGGCACAGCTAGAACTCCAGAGAAGCCGTGGCCCTTAGGCTGTGCTGCTAAGTTGCAGATTGAATTTGAATCTTTGTGGTTACTATCAAGGAGTTGAACTTCAGTCTGTGAGTATCCCAGAGTCCTCACAGGTTTTTTAAGCAAGAAACCAGAATTAGATTGTTCACGGAGGTCACTCTGGCAGAGTGATGAGATAAGTTTGCATATAGACCAGCACACCACAGCCTTTCATTGGGTCAGCACATGTTTTTAAGTATCTGTCATGTGCTAGGTATAATGCCAGGCCCTGGGAAAATAATCTGAGCAGAATGGGATTCTGTCCGTTTGGTGCTTAAACCCAAATGGAGGTGGCAGAAGCATCAGGGTAAGCATTTACGCAGTGCTGTGATAAGAGGTTTTTTTGTGTGTGAGACGGAGTCTTGCTCTGTCACCCAGGCTGGAGAGCAGTGGCACGATCTCGGCTCACTGCACTTCCGCCTCCTGGCTTCAAGCCATTCTCCTGCTTCGGCCTCCCCAGTAGCTGGGATTACAGGCGCCCACCACCACGCCCAGCTAATTTTTGTATTTTCAGTAGAGACGGGGTTTCACCACGTTGGCCACGAACTCCTGACCTCGTGATCCACCCGCCTCAGCCTCCCAAAGTGCTGGGATTACAGGTGTGAACTACCGCGCCCGGCCTGTGATAAGGGTTTTCAAAGGTTCAGATAAGCTCCTGGCACCTAAAGAAAAAGCAGCCAGCGCACCTGGGTAGGGAAGCATTGCAGGGGCGAAGTGATGTCTGGGCCAAGTCCTAAAGGATGGATGAGGAAGTGGCAGGCACTGTGGGATGCCAAGGTGGCACAGGCCGGGGAGCAGCATGGGCAGCCCTGGCACTGAGGAAGCTTACTGGGCGGAAGAGCCAGGTATGCTGCTGGATGTGGGAGAGTTGACCACTGACAGGATCCCTAGAGGGAAAAATGAGGGGAAGGTGGATGCTGAATTCTGGAGGAACCTTTGTTGAACCAAGCAGTGGTTCACACCACGGTGGTTTGACTGGGCAGCAAAACCACGGAGTGGAATGGCAGCATCCTGCCAGCAAACCTGTTACAGTTCAGAGGAAAAGGATCTGACCGCTGTGGAAGGATCAACCAGACACGGATTGAGGCAGGGAGGGTCTGTCTTGGTCACGTTGTTTTGGAAGGAGGTGAGGAGTCACTCAGGTAGAGATGCCTGTTGTGCATTTGGGGCTGGAGACACAGATCCAGTGGATCCAGATATGGATGAGATGCCCAGGAAAAATGAGCAGAGTGGCCAGAAGCAGTGGCTCATGCCTCTAATCTCAGCACTGCATTTTGGGAGGCCAAGGCAGGAGGGTCAGTTGAGCCCAAGAGCTCCAGAGCAGCCTCGACGGCAATTAGTCGGGTGTGTGGTTCACACCTGTGGTCCCAGCTACCCTGGAGGCTGAGGTGGGAGGATTGCTTGAGCCCAGGAGGCCGAGGCTGCAGTGAGCTGAGATTGCACCACTGCACTCCAGCCTGAGCAACAGAGCAAGACCCCCATCTCTAAAAAGAAAAAGAGCAGAGCCATCAGAGGAGGTGGCTGAGGGCTGGTGTCAGGGAGGTGAGAGGACAGTCACCTTGTGGGAATCGAGGGGCAAGTTTAATATGGCAACTGGCTTAGTGGCTGATAAGTAGAGTCTGAAGGGATGATGAGACCAGGAAGTGGCAGGTTCTGTGATGAAGGCTTTTAGGCTACATTCGTACATTAACCTAGTAAAGGTGGGGTGAGTGTTTCTGTCCAACTCAGCACTGTGCACTGGGGACCAGGGACAGGCGTGAATGGCATGGGTCCTGCTCTCGAAGAGCTTGTTTCTGCTGGAAGAGAGTTCTGACCCAGCCCAGTCTCATGGCGAAATGTTAATCTGATGGCAGATGATACCCTGCGGCAGGGAGTATTCCAAGGTCTGCATATTCAGATTTCCTTTGCCTCTGGGATATTCCAGTACTTCAAGTAACTCTGCTTTCTAAGATTTAAGTAACATGTTGTTGTTTTGAGACTGGAGTTTCACTCTTAATTGCCCAGGCTGGAGTGCAATGGCGCAATCTTGGCTCACCGCAACCTCCACTTCCTGGGTTCAAGCGATTCTCCTGCCTCAGCCTCCCAAGTAGCTGGGATTACAGGAATGTGCCACCATGCCCGGCTAATTTTGTATTTTCAGTAGACATGGAGTTTCTCCACGTTGGTCAGGCTGGTCTCGAACTCCCAATCTTGGGTTATCTGCCGGCCTCGGCCTCAGCCTCCCAAAGTGTTGGGATTACAGGCGTGAGCCACCGCGCCCGGCCAGATTTAAGTAATGTTATGTGCCGATTATATTTTGATTGTATGCTGGTATTAGATTATAGATGAAGCCCATCAGATGCACAGGTAGAAAGAGGGCTTTTGTGGAATTGAGTCATTCACTACCATCTTCTTCGTTTACCATGTCCATTTTCTTGTTTCACGTGTTTGATAAATTCTGCACTTAGCTGTCCCTTTCAAAATAGATACCTGCCCTTGGTGACGTTCTTTCCCCAAAATAAAGGCCTTTTGTACCCATGCACTCATACACACTCTCAGCCAGAGGCAGCTGCTGCAGAACCCACACCACATGCTGCTGCAGGACCACGTGCCACCCAGCCAGGCTGCATGGGCACCAGGAGCTCTTCAAAAATGTCAGGCCAACTGTCCTCAGAATCTAATCTGTAGATAACAGTAGATGAAACTCATGTTTTCCTTCCCCTGGTTCACCTTGACAGCATTGCAGCTCTGGTCAGCCGCAGAATGCCAGGCAGTGGTGGACCCCGTGAGAGCAGTGTGGTCAGCAGAAGGGAGGGACACAGGAGTGAGCAGGGAGCCTTGGCTGTTGGGGAAGTCGCAAAGCTCCAGTTGCCTCTTGAGCGTGCCTTTATGATTCGCACTGGCGACAGCATGCTTTGTCTTTCCTTAGAAAGACTTTGTGCCTGTTCTCACTTGACCAGATACTGTGTATGGAGCACTTGCTGGCGGTAGGCCAAGCTCTGCACATTCATAAATCGCTTTGTCTCACAGCACCCTGAGCTGTAGGTACCTTTGTTGGCCATATTTTCTAGATGAAGAGACGAAAGCCCAAGAGAACCCTGTTAGTGCTCGGCCAGATCAAAGGAGGCAAAACAGCACGCCTGCCTTCATGAGCTGTGTGGATGAATGAGGGTCGGCCTAGGGCTGTCCTCTGGTGGTCTGTCTGTGGGTAGAGGCAGCAGGTGGGCCTTGTTCCTGGAACTGCAGAAGCAGACAACCAAGCATGGAAAATGCATGTGTCCCTCTTCTGCCCCAACAGAAGCATCGTCTTTTGCTTTCTTTTTCTTTTTCTTTTTCATTACAGATATGATAGGTAGGTTTTTCCTGTGGTGTAAGCATTTCTGCTGTTGGATGTTGTTTGCTGTTTGAAGACCTGCCTAACTCATCTCAGTAGGCTGTACAAATCCTTTAACGAAGATTGGCCCTTTTCTGTAATGAGAAAAAATATGGTTGCTGAAGAACCTATCTCGAGAATACACTATTGACAGACTCTCACTCTATCTATGTGTCTCACGTCCTAGAATTACTTGCACAGCATTGTGACTATTTGTTATATCCTAGAATCTGGAATTGATTTTGATGTTTAGAAGGCCAGAGCTTACTTAGTAAATGCCACGCTGTGATTTTAGCTTACCATTTTGTACTTTTTTCTGTGGGAAATAACAAAAAAAATTTTGATCGAGGATCTCTATTGATTTTACAGAGCTATTTTAGAGAAAGTATTTCTCATTTAATGAGCACTTTACGTTGGACTTTCCATCTTAACAAGACACTGCCCCATGTGGAACTCTATCTTCACAACACCTGAGCTGCCCAGTGGTGTCAGATTGACGGGCGTCAGTTTAACCCCGTTAAGTTTAAAGGATCTGTGCACCCTCATCCAGAAACAAAGCTACGCCTTCAGCTGGCGGGACCTGCCTGCCAGCAGAGACTTGCGGGGAGGTCCAGGCCACAGCTCTCATTCAGCTCCTGGAGTCAGAGCTGCAGGATGGCTGTTGGGGCCCCTTGAGGCCTGTCCAAATGTACTTGGGACAGATTTTTTGTTTGTTTTTTCCAGACTGTTTCTGTAGATTCCTATATAATGAGCCATTACAATTTTGAGCAATTTTAAAAGAGTACTTCCAGAGGAACCTGTGAACCATTCAGCCATTAGGTCTTTGCTGTAACTGTCTATTTTTAATTTTCTGGCAGTGCTCTCTGAGAATTCAGCAAAGCCCCAAGAGAAAATAGAGTAAGCTGTCTTAGGCCCCTGTAGCTGTAGTCACAGCACTTCCTGGTGTGACAAGGATTCAGACCCCCCGGGAGCCCCTTGGCTGTCCTCAGCACCGTCTGTTCCTCCTCAGGCTCTGCCTGGCACCCTACCCTCCCTGGCACTCTTCCCTTGTCAGGCCACTGTTTGCCACCCTGAGACTCCAGCTCCTGTCTGATTTGCGCACCCTGCTTGACTGATGTGTTTTTCCTCCTCTGTGTGTGTGAGGGTGTTGTCACCGCCTCACGTCGGCTCTGGGTGTGACTGATGTGTTTTTCCTCCTTGCTGTGTGTGAGGGTGTTGTCACCGCCTCACGTCGGCTCTGGGTGTGACTGATGTGTTTTCCTCCTCGCTGTGTCTGAGGGTGTTGTCACCGCCTCACGTCGGCTCTGGGTGTGACTGATGTGTTTTCCTCCTCGCTGTGTCTGAGGGTGTTGTCACCGCCTCACGT